TATCTGGGAAGTTCAGGTTCGCTCAAAGCTCGGTTCCAGGGGAAATGGAAGGTGAAGGTGGAGGCCCAGACGCGCCACTTCGAGGTGGCCAAATACAGCCTCCCGCGCTTCAAGATCGAGCTCATGCACCCGAAAGCCCTCTATTTCCAGGCCGACGCCTTAACAATCCGCGTTTGCGCCAAATATTCCTACAACAAACCCGTAGCCGGCTTGGCCTTTGTTAAAATCTCCAGCTCCATGGAGGGTTTTGAGGACGTCCACAAGCTGAGTGAGGTGAGCGAAGCTCGCCGCCCATAGCGCTTATCCGCAACCATCCCCGAACTTTCCAGATGCTCGGATGTGCGCACTTCACAATCAACCAAACCGAGCTGGGCTTGGAGAAACTCCAAGACTCCCAGTGGCAGACTTACCTCCTCCTCACTGCCACCGTCACGGAATTCGGAACGAACCAAATGGACGTGACCTCGGGGAGGGTGGAGCTCAGCCTCAAGGTGGCCGCCCCCGCCCTCAACCTCAACGCCCCTCGAATTACCAGTGGGTTCTTCCAGGGCTTCCAGCTGCGGTTTTCCAGCAGCCCCCTCTTTATCCCAGGCGTGCCCTATGAGGGCCAGCTGCAGCTCACCAAGCTGCTGATCAACCTGCAGGCGGAGCTGGTGGAAATCTGCTGCCACTTGGCCATCAAGAAGAGCTGGAACTTGTTCAACGATAAACAGTGCCAGAATTACACCGTTTCGGGCGACGGCACCGTCGCCTTCAGGCTGTGGCCTTTAAAGGAGCACGTCCTTCATGTGCACCTACACGTAATGGGGGTAAATTTCCAGCTTCTGGGGGTAATTGGAGGTTTTCCAGGCGAGATCAGTGAACCGCTCTGCGATCTCCACGGATCTCAAGCTGGTTCGGATGTTTTCGCCCAGCGCCAGCCACATCCAACTGAAGAAGGAGGCGGATGCTCCCACTCCCTGCAACCACTCCTATGGGTACGTGGTTACTTTTGGGGCTCTGGGCCTTGATGAAGGCGACAGCCTTGAGTTCTTCTACAAGGTGAGTTGTGCAGCCCAATCCAGCTTCAATAGGCGTGGCACCTGCAAAGCCTTGCAGGTGAAGACCGGCGTGGGGATCCTCCAAATGGGCAAACATGTGCACGTTGTGGGCAAGCCCAGCCTGCAGGATTCAGCAGACGCGAGCCTATTCCTAGGCCAGATGCACAAGTACGTCAAACTAGGCCTCAACCTGGAGAGTTTCGCGCTGAACTTCACCATAAGCCAGTTGTTTGTGTCCCGATACACCTTGCTGGTCTACTACGTGACCAAAAGTGGAGAAACCGTGGCAGCTACTGCGTCCCAGGACGTCCCACCTTGCGCTTTCCAGGTAGGCCCACTCCAAAACAGCTAGGGGAGCAAATCCGAAGGGATCTTGTCAAGGGCGGATCCAGGGGAGGTCATGGGGGGTCAACTTAAACATGACG